TCCCAATCTCTCCACAACCTCGCCAGCATTTGTTATTTTCTGTCTTGTTGAACTTTGATACTAGTGCTGGAGCAAGATCATCACCAATTGCTTTTAAGTTTCCTTTTGACTTTAAGAATCTATGATTCAAATCAAATTCATAATTATCCTGAAATCATTAGGCTTTGTGAGTTGAAAAAGTACTCCAAGATTTCAGCTTGGAGTTAAAGTTTCAGTTTGTGTTACATTGTAGAAACTAGCCTTACACCAGCTTAGAGATCTCCAGAAAGAATGTTAAAATTCCATGTGAAACCTTAAGCTCAAATACAGTGTGACAGGATATATTGGTTCCCAGAAGTTTCAGGTGCAAAGATTGTTTTCAAATCCCATTCAGGCTTTGTCACAATATCTTCAGTGAACAAAACCTGAAAGGCTTAACTTGCTTGTGAAAGAAAATGTCCTGGTCACAAGAAGTGATTGTCAAGAATGTAATCACTGTAACAGGTGGCAAAAACTTGCCAGTGACACAAGAGGCTATGCAAGTTTTGAGGTGTGAGAAATCACAGTGGGTAAGAGAATCAGGGAAAGCTATTGGGTGGAGGAAGAAGAGATGGCATTTGTGGTTTGTACTCTTATTATCACTTGATATCACTTATCAGGCTCCCTCAGAATAATCTCAGGACTGAGGCATAGAAGGGGTCATATGGGAGAGCCTTAGTATACATCCCTGAATTTTATCCCCTTCCCCTCACTGGAATTAATTGGGCCTTTGCTGTGCCATATGAGGAGCTCTGGTGGCAGTAGTGATTAACACATTTGGCTGTTAACCAAAAGGTCAGTGGTTTGAACCCACCAGCTGCTCACAGGAGAAAAGCCACCAGCTGCTTCCAGGAGAAAGATGAGGCCATCTGCTTCTGTAAAGATTTACAGCCTTGGAAACCCTATAAGGCAATTCTGCTCTGTCCTATATGGTCGCTCTAAGTTGAAATTGATGCAATGGCAGTGTTATTGTTTTCTTCCCCCCTGTGATAGACCTGAAGTGATTAGACATTAATAGTAATTTGTTTAGCTTCTGAATTTCTATAATCTCTTTGGCAGATACTAATTTCACAGATCACAAACTCAGGTAAAACATTATTTTTGTAACTGGCCTTAATTTTTTATTTCAATTCCCTATTTCTCTTGGCAGTAGAAAACTTTTTCTTTCCAATTTAAGGTGAACTCAGTCACTTCAGTGTTAATTCAGTCATTTCAGCTTTATACTTAGTTAAGTCAGGGTTTTCTTTGGCATTCTAATAGTTTATCACTTAACTGCCATATAATTTGTTATTTTGAACCATTTTTTAAATTGTTGTTTAGGATGTTTGTGAGATAACTTTTCAGATGTATAGAACTCTCTAAGCTTGACTTCCTGTCTCTCACAGTGGCTCACTGTACTCTGTGCATTGGTCAGTATTTTTATATTCCAAGTATTGTGATAAGCTAGAAGATGAGCCTTGTAATCTAAAAGAACTGTGAATAGAAAGGGGCAATCTACTTCTGGAGAGATACTTCCTCAGAAACCCAAGGAGGAGTCCCTATGAGTCGGACAGACCCGAGGGCAATGAGTTTGTTTTTTTGTCAATGGCGGTGTTTTTTTGTTGTTGTTGTTTTTGTTTTTTCTTGTTTGGTAAGCAGAAAAGTAAGAACAATATATTTGAATTCATATTTTAACCCAAGACTGATGATGGTATAGTCAAAAGGACATAATCATGATTAAGAATCTGGAAAGCTGAGTTATTACTGCAACTTGGTATATAACTTTGGGCAAGTCACTTAACCCCTCAGGATCTAAATTTCCCATGTAAAGCTGATAGGGAGGAGGAGAACTTAGTCTACATGATATCCAAGATGCTTTCCTGATCTGTGTGTTCTGTCCCTGGGAACATATATTTCATAAAGTAACTTAAAACTCACTTTATGGTCTAAGAATTTTTAAAATAATATTTTATTAAGTTTTTGGTGAAAGTTTACACAGCAAGTTAGGTTCTCATTTGACAACTTCCACACAGATTGTTCAGTGACATTAGTTACACTTATCACAATATGTCAACATTCTATTTGTGTTCTGTTTGTTCTATTTCCAGTACTCTAGTTCTCCTACCCCTTTATCATCTCTTTGCTTTTGAATAATTATTGACCTTTTGGTCTCATACTGGTGGTTTTTAAGTAGGGCACCCATCTTACAGGTAATATTTTTCATTTTTTGTGCCACTCTGCTATTTCAGTAAAAGTTGATCTCAGGGGATAAGCTATGTTCTAGATTTAAAGACTGTCTTGGGGTGATAGTCTCAGGAAACCTTCTGTTCTCTACTGTTTCAGTTTGTCTGGAGATACATATATGTATATGAATTTGAGTTCTGCATATTTTTCTTCCATTCTATCCAGGACCATCTATCATGACCCCAGGCAGAATGGTCAGTGGTGGTAGCTGGGCACCATCTAGTTCTGGTCTCAGGTAGTGGAGGTTGTGACTTGCATAGACTTGTTTCTTCTCTTAGCTTTTGGTTTCCTTCTTACTGCTTTGCTCCTGGCAAGTAGAGATTCATAGTTGTATCTCAGATGGCTCTGCTCAAGCTTTTAAGATCCAAAGATTTTTAATAACTTGCCATCATGCCTACTTCTTCATCTCATTTACTAGTATGATTTTTTTAAATTTCTAAGACATAAGTATGGAGAAATGTAATCGGTCTCCTTGAGAAAAATCACTTAGATAAATACATTCATTACATGTCTCATTTCTGGCTTTTTTCCCCCTAGACACAATGTCAAGTGGAGATGATCTGCAGTTGCAGGCACTTGCCAAACCCACTTTCAGTGAGGTACAAGCCTCTGCCTTAGTGGAGTCGGTATTTGGGTTAAAAGTTTCTAAGGTCCATCCACTTCCCAGCTACGATGACCAAAACTTTCATGTGTACCTTTCAAGAACCAAAGACACTACAGATGGCCCAACTGAATATGTCCTCAAAATAAGCAACACTGAGTCTAGCAAAAATCCAGACCTGATTGAAGTGCAGAGTCACAGCATCATGTTTCTGAGAGCAGCCGGATTTCCAACAGCCTCTATGTATCGCACTAAAGGAGACAACATAACCTCTCTTGTGTCCGTAGGTAAGAGATTACCAGCTCACCAGTCTGTTCATGTGCTTCTGTAGCCAATATTACTGCATTTTGGCTACAAGTGGAAGAGTCTAGAAGAAATATCAAGAACAGCTTCACACATTTTGATCAAAAGTTCTATAGAAGAATGCTGATAAAATGGGAAAAAATGCAGAACAGAACTTCAAAGTCTCGTGGAGTCCAGATTTTCTGGAGCCATGGAGGCTAGATGCACCCCTGAACCTGTTGCCCTGAGATCATCTTCAAACCTTAAACCAAACAATAGCTTAACTAGTAAAGAATGTCAGAACATCTGCCTTGAGAATTAAGCTCTTTTAAGACCTATCTATATGGGGATCAAATTGACAACAGCAACTGGAGAGATGAGATAGGAAGCTTAGGAAGCAGTGAGTTTATGGTAATGAGGGAGGAACAACTCAGAAAGGAGGGTGAGAATGGATGCACAACTCACAGAATATAATCAATGTCACTGCATTGTACATGTAGAAATTGTGGAATTGGGGTGTGTTCTGTGTATACTCTGAACAACAACAAAAATAAATTAATTAAAAAAAAAAAAAAAAGAAGAACATGTTTACAATTCCAAGTGCAGACATGGTTATTTTTTGATAGTTGAGAAAAGCAATGCACATCACCACAGTTAGAGATCAGGACTCTGATTCTAAAGTGGTTAGAGCCAGAATCTAGTATAATTCTTCTACTAAGAAAGGCCCTGATGGATAAATAACTAAGGGAACATGTGGAAATCAGAGCAGATTATTTATTTATTTATTTATTTATTTATTTATTCATTCATTCATTCATTTATTTACTCATTCATTCATTCATTCATTCATGAGACCAGCAGTATATTATGGTGCTATGGTAATAGAAAGAATATTGGAAGTGGGGATCAGGAATTTTAGATCACAACTCTGTCATTAAATGTATAGGGAATCTTGGTCACACCACTCAAATTCCTATGACTACGTTTCCTCATCTATAAGATTTGGTCCCTTTCACCTCTAAATGCTAATAAGATACACCTAATTGAGTTCTCTAGGCAGCAGTCTGAAATCAATTCCTTGGAATTTTCTAAAAGTGTGAAAATTTGGCTATCCTATTCTCTCTTAATTTTCCAGCCATTCTTTCTTAATTTGCATTGCTGCATACAACTGCAGCTCATTATGATCATTGAGGGGTAGTGTTCCACACACAGCCTATCCCATACTATGCCCTAGAGGAAGTCACTGATTTCAGAACCATTATTTCTTTGTACCTCAGTTTTCTCAGTTGTAAACTGAGGTAATTTGTGTTTAGAGCTAAGACAAGTTATTGGTATGCACATGACCGATTCCAATTTTCTTCACATTTGTCTATTCTACCTCCTTGCTCTATCGACTTAGCCCTGCCTCATGGAGTCTTGCTCAGTAAGTTGTTTTAGGTTAGCACATTTTTTTTTTCTTTTTCTGTAATTTCTATTAGTCTTTGCTATCATTTCTAGGCAGGATAGCTTCTAATTGTTTCTTTTGAGGATAGTTGACAGTATACATTGTTCCATCCTCCTAGATAGTGGCTCTGAAATCAAAAGCTACTTGGTGAGGCTGATGACTTATCTCCCAGGAAGATGCATAGCTGAGATTTCCATCAGTCCCCATCTATTATATGAAATTGGAAGAGTAGCTGCCAAACTGGATAAGACACTGGAGGTAAGATTTAGGATTTTATTTTGTTTATAAGATTTTTCTGTTTCTTGTTTTTTGTTTTGTTTTGTTTCATAAACCCAGGGTCAGACTTTCTTTTTATCTACGGTGCTTCCTAAGTGTGTTATGAAAGAAACAGAGTCCTGTTTATTGTAAAAATATTTTACAATGAAAGTAGAGCTACCTTCTTCCCAGGTCTGTGCTGCTATACTGGTAAGATTACTAAATTTTTAGGAAGTCATGATATGCTTTATGCTGCTCTTTAAAGACAGTTTGTATTTACAAATTGAAGCCTAAAGTTTTATCGAGATAAGATGTAATCAGCCTGAGCTTTATATAAAACAGTAGGCGGTTCAAACCCACCAGCCACTCCTCGGAAGGAAGAAGGGGCAATCTACTTCTGTAGTGATACTGCCTCGGAAACCCAAGGAGGGGTCGCTATGAGTCAGGTCCGACTGGGCGGCACATAACAACAACAAAAACAACAAGTTATAAATAAATTTAAGTGACTTTTGCTCAGGTGTTTTAGTCTTGTTGTTGTGGTGGTTAGGTGCCATTGAGTTGGTTTTCAACTCATAGAAACTCCATGTGACAACATAGAACTAGCCCCATAGGGATTTCTAGGCTGTCTACAGAAAGGAGCTCTGGTGACATATTGGGTAAGGCATTTGGATGCTAACCAGAAGGTCGGTGTTCAAACCCACCAGTTGCTCTATGGGTGGAAGATGAGGCAATCTACTTCAGTAAAGATTTACAGGCTTGGAAACCCTATGGGGGATCACTGAGACAGAACTGACTCAATGGCAGTGGGTTTGTGGTTTTTGCTTTTAATTCTATAGAACCGATATTATGTATGACAAATACTTTTCCAGCCCAACTCACAAAACATCTTCATTTATTCAACAAGCATTCACTGAGTACCTTTTATGTGCCATGCACTGGGAAAAAGGAAGAGATTTGAGGAATAATAAGATGCAGACCCTGTTCCAGAGGCCTGTGTTCCAGTGCAGCAGATAACACTTGAAAAAGTTATTACAATTTGTATGACTAAAATACAGTTTTGTGTGTTGGAGTGTTTTTTTTGTTTTGTTCTAATAAAATGCAATTCATGAGTAAAGTACTTCTAATCACTCACCAAATCTTGTCAATTCTACTTCTCAAATGTCTTCACAATTCATCTTTCTATTTTTGCCCTGTTATCAAGGGAGCTCTGGTGGTGTAGTGCCTAAGGCATTTGACTGCTAACCAAAAGTCTGGTGGTTCTAACCCATCAGCCACTCCTCAGAAGGAAGACTGGGCAATCTATTTCTATAGAGATACCACCTGGGAAACCCAAGGGTGGGGTCACTAGGAGTCAGAACTGACTCGACAGCAGTGAATTTTGTTTTGATCTTAGCTCAGGCTTTCATCCTAGGTTCCCTAGATTACCGCTATAGCCTCCTGCATCTAGTTTTTTTCTCCTCTAGTTTATTCTTTAGGAGCTCTGGTGTCGTAGTGCCAAAGGCATTTGACTGCTATCCAGAAGGCTGGCAGTTCAAATCCACCAGCCATTTCTTAGAAGGAAGGTTGGGCAATCTAGTTCTGTAGTGATACCACCTTGGACACCCAAGGAGGGGTCACTATGAGTTGGATCTGACTCGATAGCAGTAAGTTTGATTTTTTTGTTTTTAATTTATTTTTTATACCAGTTCATTTTAAAAATGACAGATCTGACCAGGTCAGTTCCATGGTTAAAATCTTTCGGTGATATCTTAGTTACCTAATGTTGCCATAACAAAAGTACCTCAAGTGGATGGTTTTAAAGAACAGGAAATTTATTGTATCGTAGTTTTGAAGGCTAGGAGTCCAAATTCAAGGTCTGCAGAGCTATATGCTCTGACCACCTGGGAAAAGATCATTCCTTCTGGCAGCCCTGAATGTTTCTTGGCATTCCTTGGTTTGTAGATGGGTCCTCACATGGTGCCAAAGGGGCAGGGAGGCCACATCTTCTGACCTCCTCTAACCCCACAAGAGGAAGACAGAATCACCATCAGTAGCCCAAGGCCTATTCCTGCAAGGCCAGACATGCCACCTCCCTCCAGCCCTTTCACTAACTCTGGTACCAACCATTCTTCCCACAGCACCCACCACCTCTGTGCTGGGTTCAATAATTCACTGCAGTGGCCACACAGAACTCACAGCTTATGGGGTTTATTAGGGAAGCACCAGGCTACAATTCAAGTTCAGGAACACATTCAGTCTCTCTCAGCCTGCCATCTCTCAGCCAACAATCTCTCTCAGTCTCTTTCCCAGCAGCACGTGTGTTTCAGTGTCTCTCTCCCAGCAGTACATGTCTTTCGGTGTCTCTCTCCCAGCAGCACGTTGTCTCTCAGGAGCGTGTTTCTCTCACTAGCATGTCTTTCTCAACCAGGAGTCAGAGAGACTCCTTCTGCCTCTAGGAGGCCTCCTTTTGAGCCTGGCAGAGTGGCCAAACTAACCAATCATAACATCAGAATTCTAAGCACATGAGAGAGAGCAAACTTCCCAGAACACTGCTTTTTGCCACTCTCAACAGAAATACACCAGGTGGATAACTTTAACAATCATGAGCTCCTTAGTTGCTCATGGCAAATTCCACCTTGGAGTTTACAAAGACTATGGCTAGAAAAGCCATACCAGGTAATTTACTACACCACACATGGTGTCTTCTCCACATGTGTGAAAACCGCCAAGTCTGAAAACTCAACTGCCGTCAAGTCGGATCCAACTCATAGCAACCCCTCCTTGGGTTTCTGAGGCAGTTGTTGTTGTTGTTGTTATGTGCCGTCGAGTCAGACCTGACTCATAGCGACCCCTCCTTGGGTTTCCGAGGCAGTATCACTATGGAAGTAGGATTGCCCAACCTTCCTTCCGAGGAGTGGCTAGTGGGTTTGAACCGCCAGCCGTCTGGTTAGCAGTCAAGTGCCTTAGCCACTATGCTACCAGAGCTCCCTCTGAGGCAGTATCACCGCAGAAGTAGATTACCCAGTCTTCCTTCCGAGGAGTGGCTGGTGGGTTTGAACCGCCAGCCTTCTGGTTACTAATCAAATGCCTTAGGTATTACACCACCAGAGCTCCTCTCCAAATCTGAACTCCCCGGAGCTCTGGTAGCATAGTGCCTAAGGCACTTGACTGCTAACCAGAAGTCTGGTGGTTCAAACCCACCAGCCACTCCTTGGAAGGAAGGTTGGGCAATCTACTTCCCTAGTGATACTGCCTCAGAAACCCAGGGAGGGGTCACTATGAGTCGGGTCTGACTCAATGGCAAATAATAACAACAATTCAGAAAGGATTAGGCTTAGCACCCACTGTGATACTTGGAGCTGTGTGTCAACTTGGCTGGACCACAATTCTTTGTGGTTTAAGCAATTGTGATGTGGGTTATTCCCATGATGGGATCAGATGTATGTTTTGAGCAGCCAATCCATTGAAAGGGAGTTTCCCTAGGGGTGTGGCCTGCTTCCAATATATTTATGAATATCCTGGGAAAAGAGACACTCTTCTGTGGATTGGGATCCTTTTGTGCTGCCTACAACTGTCTGTGAGCCAACAGTCCACCATTCCGCCTGGAGATCTTGGATTCATCATTCGTTGGAGTCAACAGCTGGTATACTGCTTGCCAACCTTGAGCTCGTCAGTCCCTGCAGCTGCGTGAGTCGAGAAGAGCCTCCAGCTTGATGTTTGATCCAAGAACTTGGGACTTGCCAGCTTCTATAAGTGTGTGAGCCATTTTCCTAAAATAATTTTCTCTTTCTCTATATGTATATATATAAACTTTAGGAGATCTGGTAGCATAGTTCCTAAGGCACTTACTTGACTGCTAACCAGAAGGCTGGTGGTTCAAACCCACCAGCCACTCCTTGGAAGGAAGATGGGACAATCTACTTTCGCAGTGATACTGCCTCGGACACTCAAGGAGGGGTCGCTATGAGTCGAGTCCGACTTAACAGCACATAACAACAACATATATAAACTTTACTGGTTTTGCTTCTCTAGAGAACCCAGCCTAACACATCCACCCTACTTGAGTGTGACTTCATTAACATAACAAAGAAAACCCCTATTTCCAAATAATTTCACATTTACAAGTACAGGGGTCAGGACTTCAACACATCTTTTGGGGGATACAATTCAATTTATAATAAGCGGATTCTCATTGCCTTCAATATAAAGGTCTGCAAGTGTCATACAAGGCCTTCAAGGCTTCATCCCTGCCTGCCTGGGGAAATTGTAGGGCTCACATATTTATTTTCCATCTCTCAGGAATCACTCCTTCAATGCATGCTGTCTAATTATCTTAAAATGTTCACCAAGTTGAACATATTTTGTCTAAGCTTTTAAGACCCCAGTTGCTACTCACCAAAGTAGGATGTAGAACAATATTTTTGTGTACTATGTTATGCTGATTGAGCTTGATGTCCCCTGTGACCATGGTCCTGAGCCCACAGGTCCAACAACTCACTTCATCAGGGTGGTTGACTATGGCTAAGAAGTTACCATAACTTTGCCCTGTTAGTTCTATTTATATGGACATTCTTATAGCACATACAAATACATATGTGGAAATATCATCTGTCAAACTTATATATGATCATAGGTATATTCCCTTTTGCCTAGACATACCTGATCATTCTACCTGACAGACTTTTTCTATGCTTACAGTAATCACCATGTCACATGGCATTCTATTCATTTATTGAGTAATGCAATGCCTTATAGATGTATGGTAAACATTATTAAGCATTTCTGTTGAAATAGTTTTCAACTAAGTTGGAACAAATCCAGCTCCTTTACAATATCCATTTATGAAAATGAATGTACTTTGGATTAAAATAGCCTGTTCTAATTAAACATATTTTCAGGAAACTTTCTTCACATATTAATTTATTTAGAAAACCCTTTTAACTGATTGAAATACTCAGTTAAGTCTCTACCATGCTCAGAATCAAATTGAAATGAGCTCCTTAAACGAATGTCTGTTACATAAC